TGTTGGTTGAAATAAGTCTTTAAATTATAAATAGATTGTATATTTATTTATTAAAAAGAAAATGAAAAAAATAGACGGGGATTTTAACCCGCCCCGATACCCGTTGGAATATTATGGGGTGGTTATGGGGATTCTACTTATAAAGTTCGGGGAATTTGACGGGGGTGAGAATGGAGATTTCCATAAGGACTTTTAGCAAATCGCCAAAAACCGTCTATCCTGATTTGAACGAGAATTAGTGCCCATGAATGTTTAGCAAATTGTCCCTTTATAATTAAAGTTTAAATACTTATAAATAAGTATTATCATTATTACTATAAACAATAGTAAAATATAATAGTTATACACTCATTTTTTCTTGCGTAAATAGCACTTAACTCTATGTGATTTGAATTTAGTGTAAATTTAGTGTACACGACCCCTTGTACTTTCAATATATGCACGTAGTTGTAGTTTGAACTTTGTGTACATGACTCCATTGTACTTTCGATATAAACACATAACCCCGATATGGTATTGCCATTGGTAAATAATCGTACACATTAAAAAGTGAAAATTGTTGAAGGTACAAGGGGATTATGTGTTTATATTAAAATACAAGGTGGTCATGTGTTATATTGAAAGTAGATAGGAGTCATGTGTACAAAGTTCAAAACACACAAGGATAAGTGCCATTTATCCTTTTGTCTTCATCCTTTTCAACTTATTAAAAATAAAATTGAAACTCTCAATTTCTTTTTTAAAAACATATCACAATTAAATTAGTTTGAGCTAAATGATGGTAAAATATAATTAAATATCTCATTGAAAACTCAAAATCACTTTTCATATGAAGGAATACTTGTTTTTAGATTTAAACTATTTTAAGATTTATGATACAATAATAATATTAAAAAAAAAAAAAGAATATAAAACTTACTTACACAATCAACCTTGAATTAAATATTAATTAAATTAGTTACTTTTTGAAATCGTACCATGTATTTGTGAGTATTTTGGGATTCAATGCCAACAAAAGTTTACATCTTGCAATTACTCTGTACAACTTCTGAAATTGTTTCTGAAATTGTAGTATGAGAATATCATTTTTTCTTCTGAATACAACAAGTCCCAAGATTTTGTTTCCTATCATTAATGTATTCTGAAATTGTAGTGTGGTAGTGTAATACAATGAATCCCAAAAGTTATTCTTTTTCTCATTAATATATATTAATCAAATGACATATTTGCCCTTAAAATACTATATCTAAATCTATTTTGTAGGGTGAATTTGTACTTGCAAAAGAGTGAAGAAACCACGTATCTATTCATGTAAATTTCAAATTCTTGATATTGAGACGTAGAATTTTTAGAAACTTCTTACATATATCTCTACTGTATTTGACTTTTAGAATATATCCTATATCAATAGGATTAAATTAATATACATCATTCATTAGGAGGTGAATTGACACATAAAAGTATAATTTCATTGATAAACTAACCAAGCAAATCTATCGAGAAAACTTATCTATTCAAACTGAACGCAAGAAAGGTTTTTCATTACAATAATCAGCCAATTATCTTTAGTTTGTTAAAAAAATAATCATCCAATAACTCGCAATTCTTAAGACTCACTACAAGAAAAACGATTTTTAACAACTTGATTTTAATAATACGCAGCCAATGCGTTCGGTGATAAGTTATTTTTAACAACATGCGTTTAATGAGTTTTGTTGTTGGTGCCAAACAAAATTATTTAACAACAGCCATATTTTGTGCATTGTTAATGTAGTATACTACAGGTTGCATATGCATCTTGTAAAATCTCATATTCAAAATTGTCTACAACACCGTATCATCCAATGTTTTCGAATAACTTGAATGTAACAAGATACTGTGAATGTTGATGAAAATCGTATCCATGACAATATACTCGGTTTGTTGTCGAATAGATTAGTTTAAAATCTATTTTTTTTTATTTCAGTACTTCAACGTAAAGAAAATTCTAATAATAATAATATAAAACCGTAATTTATGTTTAATCAAAAATCTAAATTATATATACTTAAATACTATTAATTAGGAAAGTTAATTAGGTGACCAAATATAACTAGGAATCTACTGCAATTATATATTTATTAATTGACATTTGGTAAAAGAAAACTTAAACAGTTCAAACGTCGGCCAAAATAAAACAGAAAAAAGAGAGAAGAGAAAAGAGGGAGAAGGAGAGACGCTATACATTTGAACTCGTCAAAAACATCAAAACAACGCCGAAACAAAACCGAGAAAAGAGAGGAGACTTTCAAGCTCAAACATTGAATATAACATTGTTTGATAATGAAGTAATGTTTTGCCATACCCGTGATTGAAGACTTGGCTCAGATGATACATTTAAAGGTGTTAAAATTTCTAAGGATTCGGCTGCATCACCGTCGAATGTTTTTCAGAGTTATTCACACACAAACGCTAAAATAAGTATATATTTATAATTTTTAATTAAAAAGTATAAATTTTAGTAGTATTGTTTCATATTGTAATAGAATAAGAAAATAGAGAAGAAGAAAAAAACGAGGAGGAAATGAGGTATAGTTATATATTTATGTAAATGATTTAAAGAAGCAACTAAAACAAATTTGCTTTTGTTTTTCCTAGTCTGCGGAAGACAATTTTTATTTTATTCCTCCGAATAGAACATAGCCATAGGGGGAGGCTACCATTACTATATGTAAAAAGATTTCATGTGTAAATGTAACGATCGATCTATTTATCCATACTATGAAGGTGCACGTGCTCCACAAGTGTTGTGCCAGTATTACCTTTTTTTTAAATAATATTTTTAGTAAGATGTGAAACTGATTGAATTATCTATAAAGTTTTGTTTATTCTCTAATGTTTAATATTTTCATCCTAGACCCAATTGTGAATTCAACTTCTTTATTTCGTCATTTGTTTGATGTTGACAAAAAAAAATTGTTAATTGTCATAATATAGTATACATTTTAAAGTAAATATGATACTTTTTGAAAAACCTGCATTAAGAGATATACTTTGCACTCTTGCACTATGTTATTATTGCATTCACCCCCATATATATCAAATGGTCCATGTCTGACATAAGTAAATTCCTCTGAACATGTATCCTATTTGAGCTAATCCTTGCACACTATTGTGCGTATACACATTTTTAAGATAGCTAAGGAAATAAAAAAAAATGTGTAAAATGTACATGTCAAATCATAATAAGAAATAAGAAATATGAAAATGCCATATGAAAACACCATTACCATACATCTTTAATTATATATGAACTTACCTTTATATACGATTGTAGTTTTTAGATAGTTTAGAATCTAACAGTAGTATATATATATATATATATATATATATATATATATATATCATCGGATCATCGGAGCTTGACATGCACTTGTAGGCATTTTCCTAAGCACATTTTTTAGTTCGAGAACATGTCCGTACTAACACTGGTCACAAACTTAATTGGGAGATATAATTTCACCATTAACAACCAGTGCCCTTAGTATTGTGATGAAGTTAGACTTTCAATAATACTTGTATTTGTGGTTTGTACTAAATAAATACTCATTTTGGATGGTTGGTCTTCAGTGCAGGAAATCACCCATATACATATTTCTTCGGTATGCATTCCATGCTAAGGAACCATAACTAACGAAGGAGAAATGGAAAAACTAAAACTCACTTAAAATGGAAATCTCGAAACCGTAAAATTGGAAATCCTTCATAGATCAGTTTGATCTTGATTCTAACTTCAATTACTATCGTACATTTATTTAGTTTTGTTGGGCGATCCCAAAGGGAGAGTGGGTATGGTTCCTCAATCATGGCTTGAGTTTAGTAAAATATTAAAGATGAGCGTTCTTTGTGTCTATAAAACAGCATAACCAATGAAGGCTATTTTTTAGAGAAAAACCATTGAAATATGCAGGATAAAGTTTAATAATATGTGTTATCATCTTCATGCATGAAATTAAAATCATCCATTAATAAATTGCATAATAGTAATTAAATTTCGTAATGAAAATTTGAGAAGTAATTGGGAAACAATTAATTTGGATGACTCCACTCGTAACTTAATAGTGAAACAAGAGGATCATCTGGCCAAGAAAAATATATTTTGAGATTATGAAGAAAAATATCATTGAGAAAAGTGAATTAAAGCAACCGTAAGTTAAGGATGATTATTACCGGGCTCCCTATCAAATTGGCTGATCCACTCTTTCTTTTTTTCAAATTTGGATTGGATGATGTAAATCGAACACTAATTCAGGAGAGTAAATATTATGGACATTTGAGATGTTGGTACAACACCATATCGTAGATATGTTTGTCTGGTGATGAAGATGCTTCTAATTAAATATTTTAGTGGAAGATATAAATTTCAATAAGAAACTGATTACGAATAGGAAACGAATAGTTCTTTTCTAGATTAGTTAGTAATTAATGAAATTTATAAATTACAGAATATAATCCGGAGTATTTACGAATTGATATAAAATAATATGATTATTAGATTATAATGTCATAAGTCACATGTATTGTTAATATTACAGAATTGTCCTTCAATCATAGATAACCCAGAGGGGCATTTTTGGTTCTTCAAAAAAGGGAAGAAACCACCATAGAATTTCTCATTTTATAGATACAGGTAGATATATATAAAACCGAGCATGTCCATTTGTGAAATGAAAAAAATCCATTTCTCCTGAATCCATGTACGAATAGCGTGGTCAAAGGGGTAGTAATCAGTCCTATCGATTCGTGGTAAACTAAAATCCCGTATTTTTCATAACACACATTGTCCATAAAATAAGATTTTAGCAGCTTAATTACTAGACTCATTTGTTACATTAAAACTAAGTTCTCTCTTCTTCTTTCTTTTTAATTATTATCACATATTTGATTTTAGTAGTTTGTTTTTCAGAATCCACCGCAAAGACATGGTTTATTTAGAGTTAGTTCAATAGCACATTGCAGCCTTGGAAGAAAAAACGAGAAGGTTCAACTCACTCAAAAGGTTTATTTACAAGGCATAGAGGCCAAAACCAACGACAAATTCGCTAAAAGCTAAATTAACAAAGTAATTTAACAATCACTTTTTCGACCCCACACTAAAACAACGAATAAAGTCGATGAAACGTAGCTAGACAAAACAACCACCAGCTAATGATAATACCCATTGAACAAGAAAACAATGCTCATATACAACAAAGAAAGTGGTACAGCCAGAACCGTTGATGAAGATTGGTTATTGATTTCGGAAGAATCAACGGCCAGTGGCATTCCGTCGCTATTGAGACTGCAAAATGAAGGATCGGAAGAAGATTCGTCCGTGTTCATCATCAGAGCCCTCAAAACAGCTGATACGGTTCGGATATAAGCAGGTCGATTCTTGTTCAGTAGCCATGTTAGACCCATCAGCTCACAGTCTCTGTTATGCATTTTGCTCGTCCTCTCCGTGCTGTTTTTTATTCCCGATTTATTCGCGTTAAGCTGCGTAAATTTACGGGATTTATTGTTAGAATTAATGACTACGTATGGACAATTGGATTATTGAAAAAGACCATTATATGACCATGTACCAATATTTAATTTCATCGACAAAGTTTACAAGAAACACTATCAAAACACAGTTCACAATTTATGAACATTGGACATTTTCTTTTTCGTGCAGAAAGCATCGCAAAATAGTTTTATTTTCATTGACAAACCTACCTAGACCAATAAAAACTCGTTTTCCGATCTACGAATATTTCTCAATTTTTTTCCATACATCATAAGATAAATATAGTTTCGTTTACAAATCTAACTAGTCAGCAAAGAAACATATCTAATCCAATCATTTTTTTTATTAGAGAAACACCTATTAAAAGAAACAACATAGAATAAAGTTATTTATTTTGTAAGGAAGCATGAAACATTAACAAACAAGCAGAGGAAGCATACACCACTTCAAAGAGATCAACGAGGAGAGTTCACTCTGAACTTACTTTATATGAATGCCTAACCGATTAACCAATAGGATAACTCGCCCAATGCCATAAGTCGACAAAAATTTAACTCTTGATAAGGCAGCTACGATGCAAATCTATTACAGTTTTATAGACGATCATATAAAGTAAATAGAAGTTCCATCATCAATATTCTTATCAATAAAACAATTGGAAAATTGTAAAACAAAGATGGTTGTGTCTAGGATTTTCGAATTCCGCTGATTCCAATCCGAAAATTTTCCAATTTTAAAACAATAGTTTTCATTCTGAATTCCGGAAATCGCTAAACAATCACGGCCAACAAACATTATAATCACTCGTCTGCAGATAATAAATTAAATATGGATTCATCGATAAACTTAACTTATCATTCTATAAATCCATAACAAAAAAAGTCCATTAATTTTCAAAAAAGAACACTGGAAATTCCCAAATTGGCCCTCACCAAAATTTAGGTAAGAACAATGTTCACATAATCAAACCAGTTTAATACATAGAGCGATTCAACCGATTCAAATGGGAGGTCGAATCGAATTAATAATAAATTTATTAATTACGTTACTTTAATATACATTAGAAATTATATTGTGATATAATATTATAAATACATATTCGAATCAAAATGTGTATTTGTGTATCAATAAAATTATGTATATATATATATAAGACAAGGTATATTTATATACAAAAAACTATGATAAATTAATTGAAGATTAAATAGTTAGAGCAACTCCAATGGGAGAACCAAATGGAGTATTAAATTACAAAAAGAGGAACCAAATATTCCTTAAAAATAGCTTTGATAATTCAACGGAAAAAAATAAATAAAATGTCAATAAATTTCAATGAAAAATGGATAATAATTTATTTAATGCCTATGGGTTGGAGCATATGAGTTTTTTTAAAATATCACAGTATCTCAATCATCAATTGAATGTTTGATGCTTCATTTTAATACCTCTCCATTGGATCGGAGTTCTATTATACTATCTTGTATAGTAAACTTATATGTTGTCTTTTACCTATTAACTTGAGATTTCTTTAATTTGTTGCAATGGAATTTAATATATGATGTGATTATAAAAATAAGATTTTAATGTTAAAAAAAAAAAAAAGAAACATGATTATGGCAAAGATATAAGCAGAAATGAAATGATTGTGAGAAGCAGAAAAAGCCAAACGCGGCGCCCACTTTTCGGGTGGGAAAAGGACTTAGCATGTGACTCCCCTGTACAAAAGCTGTGGGAGAGAAAAAAAGAAAAAAAAAAAAAACGCACTTCCCCAAATTTCCACACAATTTTACTGCGTGTTGTGTGTGTAATAAATATAAAAAGTCCCATATAAAAAAGCGAAAACGTACCAAAGAAAGGCTGTTGAGGCACTTAGAGCAACCCGCAAGCCCACCACCACCGCCGCCGCCGCCGTTGAAGCAATCTCTCTCCAGCTTCACCACCGCCGCTCCGCCGACCAATTTGCCGCGCGTGTTGACAGTAAAGGCCTCAGGGCAGGTGAATGGGTGCAATCTGATCCCACAGTAGCAGTAAACGACGTCGCACGTCTCGTTGGGCCTCTTCAATTCTATGCCTCTGTTCCCCAACGCCTTCTCCAGTGTGTCGACGCACGTCTCCGAGTCGTCCGGCAGCACCGGCATGTCGTACGGCGCCGTTTGAGTGGCCGAGCCCTTGGTGGTTGTTGCCGCCGCCGTCGTCCGCAGCCCGGTTTTGGAGTAGGCGGAGTAGAGCCAGGCGGCAAGGACCGGGCAGCAGCGGCTGCGGTGGAGCTGGCCCGCGTAGGAATTCGGATCGGGTCGGTGGTGGGGTTTGGAGCCGCAAGCGGATTTAATGCCGTGGAAGAGGTCCTCCGGGAGGTCGAGGGGGCAAGCGGAGGCGGCGGATTGCTCAGGGAAGGCGGGGATGGTGGCGGGTGGGGCGGGGTGGAGGGTTTGGGTCTGGGTCTGGACTGTAGCTGGGTCCGGGTCGGGTAAAACGGGTAGGGCGGATAGTGGTAGTGGCAGCTGGAATAATGTGGAAAGGAAAGTGAAGAAGAAGAGTGTGGTGATGCATTGGGACATGGCTTTCTTTGAGAATATTTAGGGAAGCGTGTTTTTTGTGTGAGTTTTTGATCGGAGAGGAATATCTGGGGAAATGTGGACCGCTGAAGGAAAAATGTGGGAGAGAATGTGTGTGTGTGTGTGTGTGTGTGTGTGTTGTGTGAGAGATAAGAGGGGATGGAAAGAATGTGTGTGAAGTGAGGTTAAGTGTGTGTTTGGTTGGACTGCTTTTTGTTTGTGGGATTCTATTAATGAGGTTGATATTCATATTTTGCACAAGCATCTTTTGTTACCGAATGTTCAATAAATATATGTAGATTGTACTAAAAAAAAAACCATTGCAAAAACTAAAATACAATTGTTATTAATTGTTTTTCAACTAATTAATTGAGAGTGATAATAAGCTGCAAAATTGATAAAAATACAATTGATGTTTTACTGAAATACCAAAGTGACGTATAATTTGGGATGAAAAAACACGCAGACAAATAATATAGGATAGATGGAGTAGCCCGCATGGCTGTAGCTCAACTGATTCCGGGATGGTAAGTTGGTACAAGGTCTGATAGCCGCAGTGTGGAAATTTCAACTCCAATGAGGGTTGCTTCCTTGTGCACACCAAGTCTAGGTTAGCTACCCTAACGAGCCGTTGAGTTACCATAATTTACATTCATCCGTCAAATACTTGTCGAGCCAATGGATGGGCTTGTGAGCACCAAGTTCGGATCCGCTACCCTAACGGGCCCCTGTGGGCAAGGAATTTCGCATTTTGGTACAAAGACTGATGGAGTACATATTTAAAGTTACATAACTATAGTGGTCTTACATAACATAATTATTTGAAAAATAAAAACAAAATAAAAGGCATTTTATGTTGAAGGACACCAAACCCCACTTTAGGGTTTGGTTGTGTAATTAAACACAAGAAACAAAAATACGTAATATTTTTGTCTGTTTTCTATTGAATTACACGAAATTTATTCATGAGTTTCTTGTAAATCAACACAAACTTCTACCATATTTTCTTTTCTTTAAGTTGTGATTTTTGGTCTGTTTTCTTTCTTTTTTTTTTTTTTTTTTTTTTTTTTTTTGTTAAACACAAGTATTGATTTATTTTTTAGGGATACTTAGTGAAAATTCCCGACTAATTTAGTTGGATATAACCTCATTTTCATTATTAGTGAGACCCTCCCACGTTATATTAAATATATATTTTTCTATTAATATTGTATTTGACATGATTAATATACCTAATTCGCCCTTCTATGTTATATCTAAAATAACCGAACATATTTCACGTTCTCGCTATTTCTCATATTCCCCTCTCTCTTTTCTCTCTAATAACCACCGCATCCAACCCTCTCCCATCTCTGTGCCGCCATCGTTGCGCTTTATACCACCGCCTTTGTACCATCCATCCTCTTAATTTCTATTTCGCCATGTCTACTCTCTTCTCCCAACGGCGTTCGTTCCTCCACCGCCGCGAAAAGAAGGCAGTCTTCACCCCTGGAATTCTCTGGTCAAGGACAGCATTAGGATTTTCGCTAGGGAGAATGACGAGACTAAGCAGTGGCGCTAGGGCTGATATTGCGTATGAGATTTCAATAGAGACCACCGCCAACTTTGTTTCATTGTTGTTGTTGTTATTCTACAACAATATAGTTGTTTTTATTACTTTTTAGTTGATTTTAATGAATAGTTAATTTAACAAATAGTTGTTTTTGATAAATGAGACTTATTGGAGATATATAGTTGTTTTAATCATAATTGTTTTAATAATAGTTTGTTTTTATATAATAGTTGTTTATTTGATATATCGTTGTTATAACTTAAGACAAAAAAAATATAGTAAAAATATATTTTTAAAAATATAATAAAAAGTTAAAAAATATTTTTTCAAAATATTATTTTTTAAATAAAAATAAATAAATAAATGAAAATTAAAATTAAAATATAGGGATAATTAGAGAAAACCCCTCATCTAGGAAAATGAGTTGAGGAAACACTTTTTTCCAAAAATAATTAGAGAACACCTCCTTATAAGCTAATACTCTAATTAATTATTAAATATAAAATTCCATTATTACCCTTTTTGTTATAACCCTAGCCATTTCTCCTTTATTTAGATTTCACGCCTCTCTCTCTCTCTCTCTCTTTCATTAATTTTCCCAACCCTCCATCATCTGCCTCCAATCCGACGTCGCTCGAGGAGTAAGCAATCATCCGTCGTCGATCAACCTCGCTCCGTTCACCGCTATTTGATAAGCAAAGTGTGCTCCAACCATCAAACTCATCGTTGTGCGACCAGGTCGTGAGATCTGACCCGTGTTCGAAGAGGGTGGACTTTTTCGTCGAGTACGACGACGCCGAGATCATTAGGTGATCAAGAGGAAGCTGGTCGTCTCGGTAGGAATACGGTGACCCAGGTTTTGAGACTCGATCTGCAAATAATTCGTATGTGACTCATCTTTCAGAGTGCTTTATTGAATTAGGGAAGTCTTTTATAAAATGTGGTTTTATGTTTGTTGAGCATATATTTCAACATTGAAAGAGGAATTGTGTATAGTGTTTTGCGTACTCTGTTGTTGCCATGTACATTCTTGAATATTGAATTGAGGTACTATTTTTAAAACTTGGACTTGATTGCAAGAATTCAAATTTTAGAAGTGGTTACATTGGTAGTTTCTGAAACATATTCTCATCTTAGATTCTATAAAATATATGATACGATCCATTCAATTACGCGAGGTAGTGTCGAGCTGGATGAAGGAGTTGATGACTTGGACGAGCTGCATGTGCCAAGAGGACCGATTACCCGAGCTCGGGCCAAGCGCATTGAAGCAGCCATGCTTAACTTAGTAGAACACGATCTCCAAAAGGAAGAATTGACGAAGTCTAGTTCGATCCCAGCTAGCTTAATTGGAGCGAATTATCGGGCCAGATTGTGAAGCAAGCCGAGCTCAAGGACTTGAGCCCGTCTAGTCATCCAGCCGAAGAAGACGTGACTTGGAAAAGATGATTATTATTAATTTTCGCATTTTATTATTGGACAATTTATTTCTTGTTATTTAGAGTCCGATTTGGACTAGATTTAGTTTATTTCGTTATTTCCTTATAATAGATAAGTTAGGATTTATTTTCCTTGTTAGATTAGGTCTCTTTGACACTTATAAATATGTTGTTTTAGGTCATTATTATTTGGACGTTTTTAAGTATTATTTTGAGAGATTAAAATTCTCCTTCGTTGTTCTTCAACAACTCTTCGGGATATTTTGCGAGTGGATTCTTGTGAATTATTCTTAGCACTATAGTATTGGTTTCTGATTCATTATAATCACGGGGTCAATACTTCCACCTTGATAATATTGGTTTCTAGCTCTCTATAGCTACGGGGTCAATATTCCGAATTCCGCCAATCGAATCCTTTATTTTTTGGACGTTCCGTTCTTGCTTCCGCATAAGACTATTGGGTCCCGTAACAAGTTCTACGGGGTTCGTATCAATATACAGAGTAATTTTTAAATGACGCAGAACGGAAGCACGGTAAAGAATTAATTTCTACGAATTAATCCTATAAAACACGATAACTCTGGAATCCACCAGATAATTGAGAGAAAACTCAGAAATTTTATTAATAATGAAAAGATGCTGAAAAATAAACCCTAGAGCAACTATTTATACTAAAGAAAACGAAAAACCTAATCAAACTAGGAAAATGAGAAAATTACCAAAAAAGACAAAAAATGAAATAACTCCTAAACCTAATAGAATACCGAAAGTTGGAAACAACCCAACTTGCGGAATTCAAATCCGATTTTTCTAGAATTAATTATGAATTATTTAAAATTTTCCTAAAATAGCAAACACATCGTTTTGAAGGCCTAAACGACCTCGAAACGCCAAAATCCATCGCACATCACAACATAGCGGTATGTTTGACTCCCCTCGTCGTTCCGGTTCGGAAAAGCTTGGCCCCACCCAATTCCGACTCCGCCACCTCTGCATCATTACACTTTGAGTTATGCAATCTTTGTTTTTTTTTTCTTTTTTAGAACCTGAAATCGTGCACCTCAAATTGCCAGAGGATGTTCTCTGAGGTGGCGTCGGAGAAGGTGCTGGATGATATGGTGAAGCTGATTGATTATTTGACGACAGACCACGGTAATCGGGTGAGGGCGATGCAGCTGATAAGGTCTTGGGGCGAGTCCAAGGATCTCGAATACTTGTCTGTCTTTCATCAGACATACATGGTCAGTCATTTGGTTCCAGATTGCTGTTTATATATTGTCTAATACTTAAGAATTTTATCCTTGGTGATTATGGGCAACAAACTCGAATTAATTTGCTACTGTTAATTTGTTAATTAAAAACATTTATTCAGTAGATTATTTTTCTTAATTTTTGGTAGATCGGGCGGAGAACGAGCCCGCAGACAAAGAAATTGGCGCAGGCTGGACCCTTAATTGACTAATTGTTCTATAGTCATTTAAGGTTTAGTCGACTATGTTCAATAGTCGATTAAGATTTAATTAGCTATGTTCAGTAGTCGATTAAGGTTAATCAACAAAAAAAAAAATGTTTTGGATTTTTTGTTTATTGATTCTGATTTGTATAAATAAATTATCATTTTTGTATATTTTTTGTTTTTGTAAATATAATTGATTTTGTATTTTTTAAGTTATAATTATAGTATATTTTTTGTTTTTGTAAATATAATTGATTTTGTATTTTTTAAGTTATGATTTGTTATTTTTAGTACTTAGATTCTTAATTGACTATGATTCATAGGCGATTTCCTTAATCGACTATGAAGCATGGTCGATTAATATACCAGATAGAGAAAAAAAGAAATTAAGAAACGAAAAAATTAAGAATAAAAAAAATAAAAATTTAAAGAATTTCCTTAATCGACTATGCTTCATAGTCGATTTCCTTAATCGACTATGCTTCATAGTCGATTAAGAAAACTGGTACAGAAAAAAAAGATATTAAAAAAAATAAAAAATAAAAAATTACAAAAATAATAATAAAATAATAGCCGATGACTAATGCGCGACAGAATGATGACGCGGGTGAGTGTTGTAATGAGGATGTCAGCGGGGCATAATTGGAAAAATTGGTGGCTGGAAGTGGAGGAAGAGTTTTTCTCAAATGGTGTAAAATACTTTGGGCATCTCTCTATTAAAAGAAGTATTGATGGGTTATATCAAAGAGCCCCTAAAATATAAAAAATAAAAAGTGCATCAGAGTAGTGTATAATATGCAGTGAATAGACCAAGGGTAAATTTGAAGATAAAAAAAGAATGGGTCTCTCACTAATAAAGGAAAATGAGTTGAGTTCATCCTCATTAAAATAG